GAAATTAAGTTCTAAAATTTGACAAAAATAACACTTTTTAAAAACCTCTAATGGCTATTAGAATGGGAGAAGATATATACATAAAAAAACAAATATGACTGAAGCAGTTTCAAAGCACAGAAGAATTATATATGAGTTTCTAGCATTTCATGATCACGAAGTTCTTCCTTACTTTGACCAACTGTTTCTTCTCATGTGTTGAACATCACGCAACTAGTACTACCAAAAATCTTCAGCTGAGGAAAAGTATCTTGAGTTTAACCACAGGAGATAACAAAAATCTTTCTCCCTATTACAATCTTGTGGGCAGGTAACTATCACATGGCCTAGCAGAAAAAGCTTAAACAAATGCGAATGTATTTCTAGGCTGTAGCTAAAGGTACCAAAGTAAACATGTACCTGCATCTGTTCCCTTATTTTCATTTGCAGAACATGAAGGTGTAGGTACACAATGTTTTCTTCACCTGCATGCATGTGAGAAATAAGCCATTCCTTCAATTCAGTCTCAGAATTGCAGCTATTCTCCATATGCTTTGGCACATGAGACAATTCAGCTAGAACATCCCAGTAATGAAACCACAAAAGAAATATTCCAGAGACACAATATGGGAGAAAAGGAAAGGCAGGCTGCCTTTCAGATCCTTCCCTGAAGGGCAGCAACTTTTCATTATTTGGCATTTGTAAAAACCTCTAATTAAAGCATTCAAAAAAAATTTTCATGGCATGCAAAATTGATGTTGTAAAGTGTTATATTTCTGTTCAAAGCTTAAAGAAAGTTACAGAATCCTCATAAAGTCAGTGAAAAGAGTACATATTGTACATGAGATACCATACATTGAAATAATAGAGCAGACACGCAGCAACATAATACTTACAAAAGATATAACAATTTATTTAAGTTCAGCTTGGCTACACATCTTCTACATAACACCATTATTCCTTAAAGGTGAATATATAAAATCAAGTATTGGGATGAAACCCTCAGAAGCTACCCAGACCTTCAGCCACTCTCAGATCACTGCTTCCTGCTTATGACAGAGGGATTTTTTTTTTTTTTTTGGAAACACTTGATTTTTGGCAATTAAACTTCTAAACTAAATCACTAAATTTATAACTGTGAAGCTGTACCCACCAAAATTGAAAGTGTTCAGACAGACAATTCAGTAATTCTATCTGAGCAGGTTTTTGGGGGGGTTGTTTGTTTTTGTTGGTTGTTTTGTTGAGGTTTTTTGTTGTTGTTGTTTGCTAGACATGCTGGTCTTTCTTAGCTGAAATAACTATGCATTTCTACAGCCTAAATGAAGTAATCTGGGCTTTTCCTAATTGCCACTTAAACCCAAATCACCTATCATGACCAAAAAAAACAACAAACAAAGATATAAAACACCAAGATCTAAGATTACTCTGGTAAACATCATTACTGGTACTCTGCATACCCAGGCCAAGCAGTAACCACAAGAATGCAGTTTGGACACGATGGAGCTCTTGATATCCAGCCCCTGGCTCCCCAGCTGACCCCTGATCACCTAGAAGGTTTCAACAACTTCAGCAAGTTTTCCACGAGACATTATTGTGACTATGGCATGATTCAGAATGAGGAATCTTCCTCTTACAGCACTCTAACGATCTCCATCAATGTAGAGCTACAGATTATTTTATTTGTCAAAGACCAAGTCCAAGTGCTAATTTTTATCAGATTTCACTGCCATCATCTATCAAAACCAACTTTAATATCTTCCCCAAAAGTGTTTTTTAAGTTAGATCTTAAGCAACATACAAGTTCTTTACTTAGAAGAGGGTCTCATTTTGTGCAAGCTTAAGATACTGAAAACCATCTAATCAGCACAGTGATTTCTGGGGTAGTTGATTCTTTATTCATTTAAGTATTACAGCTCAAAATTGTGTTTCTTCCCAAATAACTGAAACAGCTCTTTAACAAAGCAGCAAATTTAATACAGCATGGACATTGTCACTGTCTCCTTTTAGCACGTAATTCCATTTCACCAGTGCAAATTTTATTGTAACTACCTTCCACTGTTTCTCTCCTCTCAAACTTTGCCTGTTTCATAACACTCTGGCAACCCAACATCTTGCTTTGAAACAGCTTTGAAAGCCTGGCTTACGGCCAACTTGCAACTGATACTACAGTTTAAATACCTTCCTAGCAAAGTTGCAAAAACTTCAAAACACTCAGGGATCAGTCATTAAAATGTTTTTGTTTCAGTTACAACACTAATGAAAACCAAATGTCTACATTTATTTTAGCTGGCTTAATGGTCTGGGGACTTCACTTAAAAGAAAGGTCTGAATCAACCCTCATTTACTTGGCTGAACAGATTAGCACAACAACATTGTAGAAAGATACGGATAATATTTTTAAAAGATTTACTAAGAGTGTTTCGGCCACAGATTCAATTAAGGAGGCCCAATTAATTGCCTCCATTTTATTTTTCTTCTCTAAAGTCTTCAATTACAGTGCACCCGAAACGATGCACTTTTAGCTGCAAGTTTAAAAGGCTCCATTTGCCAACAGATTTAAGACACAAAACTAATACTACGCTACAGGATATAGGCTACTGCAAGCTATGTTTCTACTATCCAAACAAGGCACAAAGTAACAGATCCTGCCTAAAATTTAAGCCATCCCAAAGTGTCTGCTTGGAAAAGCACTGTGTTCTACAAGTGTATCTCATTCAGCAAACATGGGAATATTCCGGGCGGGAATCATAGCATGCTAAATGAAATGCTTTGTACAAAGCTGTCTTTCAGCTGAGAGTTATGACATTCTGCTGCTGGTTTAATCCCTACCCTCTACAATCAAGTCAGCAAATTCTGTGCTGGTTTTGTATAGTCTTAGCCATAGATAATGAACTGATGTTTCAGCAACATTTTATCTTTGAATTCACTTTTGAACACTTTGTCCATACTCCTCTACAGCAAAGAATATCAAAGTTCTGCTAAAACAAAAACAACACAAGCTGACACAAATATCTACATTTTCAGTAACAACACTGTTGTTCATCATTTGTGTCTCAAGATACATGGAGCATGCACCACCTGTTTTCAACTACCACTCAAACTGTTGAACCGCACGTTAATGACAGCTGCTAAAAAGTCTAAAATATCAGGGAAAACAAATAAAAGTTTAACTGCAGCCCTGCAGGATTGAGGCAAGCCACGGTCTTTTGCTAAATATGAGTCATTATAATACATACAATACTCTAATAACGTGTATTTGCACTTTGCAGACTCCCTTCAACACCATCATAACTCCAAGGTTCACAGGAATGCCGGCATTTGTGTGCAACGACTGCTTCTAGGACAGGAGAGCGAGCAAGTGGTCTGTGCACTTCCAGAGTTTTACAGGCCTAAGAAACTCCCAGCAGGGAGTTCCCACTACACATCTCTAACACGCACCTCCATGCTATTTAGCCAGAAACACAGAGCAAAAAACCCGCTTGAGAGGTTATACCAAGTGCACAAATGCCAACCCAAAAAGATATTTTAAGTTAATGAATCTCAAATTATCAATCTTTTATTCCCTAAAATATGTAAAAGACGATATATAGGAATAGATGAAAGGTTATAGATTACTGGTCACCCAGTAAGCAGTCTTTATAACATCAATTTCAAGTGCATTGGCACTTTACTCGAAAGAGCAGTTTACTTATGAACACTGACATTCTTACCATGCCTTCAAAAGTATGTAGAGCTCTCCCTGTGCAGAAATCCTTCTTTCAAGCACAGGAAGACACTGAAAAGAGTAACTTTTTATATGCTTAATTCCAAGTTTCACCAAAAAAATCATATGCTTACAGTAATTAAATTAATTTTGCTACTTAAGAACTTCTTTTACAGACATTGGAATACAGAATTCTAGCATTAAATAGCTTATAAATGTTTTTCCCATTAGTATCAAAAGGAGGAGAAAAGAATACCTAAAATTAGTACACTTATGTTTCACAAAAAAAACATAACACAACATAAAAGGCATCCAAGACCTTAGGTCTCTGCCCTGGTCAGGACTTTATAGATGATGGACATCACATCAAGAGCACCAGAAGCAAAGAATCCGTTCTCAAAGTTTCAGCTAAATGATCACTAAAAGTAACAGGTAGGAAGATTAAATAATTCAGCTACTTCAATGAGAATGAAAAAATATAGTAAGAACAATTTCTTAGTCCTTTACTTTGCAAATCCACACACCTGCTCTTTACTACTTTGAGAGAGAATCAAGACATACTGTTTATATAGTTATTTCTCTTATGTGGAGAAGAACAGTATGAATTCAACCACACCCTTCAAGAAACTATAAAAACACCATTTCTCAGCATGAATTTTCTCAAACCCTGGCAGCCTTACAGAGCAGTCACCTACATAGCTCTAGCCAGCAAAGAGGTCCTCCACAGATATCTTTCAGATAGATACAACACCTTAATTAAACTCAGCATACCTACCTATCACAATTTCTCTCAGGCATTCAGCAGAGAAGATGAATAAAGAGCATGTGGATCAAATAAAGAATAACAAATCTCCGCAAAAATACAGTTGGAGAGAAGTTCCTGCCATCAAGTACTGTTTGCACAAAGCAGCACAGAACTGCAAATCACAAACTCTCAGGAAACTCCTACATCCCATCTGCGCACAAGGGGAACTTCAAGGTTTAAATCAAACCTTTGGTTTGGGACAAACTTCTCAAACATGAATCTTTTAAACAGTAATGCAAATTTATTCCTCTCCTGAAGGAAAATAATCACATCAAAAGCAGATTACGGAGAAACAACAATAACTAAGTCTCACAAATATTAAGATTGTCTCAGAATATTAAGATTGACTTTTATGGTTCATAGAACAAGCTTCAATTTCTTGCATGAGACAGGGAATCTTATGTGAAAAAAACAAAGGAAAAAAACGGATAAGTATTAAGTAAAACAGAATCAAACAGATGAGCATTCTCACTTTAATGCCTCATGTAACTGGCTATTTAGTTCAAAATGTACCTCATATCACATGAGCTGTTCCAGAAGAGTAATACAGAGGCAAGTGTAAGAACAAGGTGGCCACTCAGCTTCCTCCATGTCAACACACTCCCAGAAGCAGTCACCCCTTTTGGAACAAGAGAACAAAATTCTGGGTATCTTATTTTTTCCCCAACATTCTGTATTTGAGGCACTTTCTACTGTGCAGTAAGGGTTAATCTGAAAACTTAAGGGTTAACCTGAAAATTTAATAGAGTGCTTCGTGAATATTTAGGATCTTGATGGCTGGCAGTGTCAGCATTGGAAGCTGGCTGTTGGGTCAGGCCAGAAGGTTGATGGAAAACGAAGTAATCCAACAGATGTATACAGCACTTGGAATTTTCTTTCCTGTCACTACCCCAAGCACAATTTTCAGGTATGGACAATAAACATATGGGATGATTGAAAAAAACTCAAAACAACCAAACATAGGGGCTTTTTATCTAGAAATCTACTTGGAAATTAGGCTTGAACTGCCATAAAAGCACACTCTACCCCAAGAGCATTTGGTAACCGGTGATTATCAGCAGAGACAGATAGGTATTGTTAAGACAACACCTAACAAAATAAGAATAGACTGCAAAAGACATTCATCCCCAAGCACTGTCATGCTGTAACATCCTGCTGAATTTGTACATTTGTGATACATGGGCTGTATCTTAGAGGCAGCACAGGAAGCCACATCACATCAGGCCTCAAAACCTGAAGTTAGAAAACCTTTCCTCAGAGATTCCAGTGAAGATTCTCACAACTTTATTTAGCCCTAGACATGGGATTCTAGCCTCTTGAAATCCATGCTCACTTTCTGCCCGAAGAAGTGGAACTTGTGTCAAAGAAAACTAGACTACAGCTTGCCTCACTATTCTGCAAGATAAAGGTGCTCTCTCTGGCACACACTCCTGACCAGATGTTTGGCTACAAAGGAGGACCCAGCCAAACTGTATCTCCAAAGAGGTGCAGAAAGCACAGACTCCACGTTCCTGTTCCTGAATGGAAAATGTAGATCTTTAATGGTGGTGGCTGCTAAGGGGTATTTAGCTTGAACAAATCACTCAAGGTTTGCACTACACCCATAAAAGCAATGAAAGAGCTCTTCTATTACACATGCATAGCCTGTAACACAGCTGGATCTGTACCTATCACCTCACAAAGACACTGCTGGCTATTGCTATGGATACTAAACCCATAGAACATCTTGTTACCTTCATGTGGAAACTCAGCTCGGACATACCACATTAAAATTAGCACACTGAGGGTATTTCATTTACACATTCTAAAATACACAGGACACTTCTTTGTAGAGACATTTCAGATTATTGGAACACACAAGGTATAAGACTCTCAAACTTCTGTCAAAATACCTTTAATAAACTTGACACGTGAGATAACTTTAAAAGGTCAACAGTGGAGCTCATATGGGAACCGACCAGTACAGTTAGATCCTGCCCAGGCTTCTCCCCCTGCCTTTGATGATGAAGTGGAAGGGGACAGAGTCATTGTGGCTGTGGAGTTTCTCAATTAAGTTTATCACAGCATGTAAAAGAGGCTCAATTTTACCCAGAAAACTGCTGCTAATTGTTTCTTTTGCCCCAGTAAAAGCAGTCATCTATCTCTAACAGAGCTGCTTATTTAATAATGTTTCTTCCTTACCTTCCACTTTCCACAAGAGTACGTTCACCTTTTCATTCAGGTCCACTATGTTGCCTCTTGACTTTGGGCTTCTCTTTTGGCTTATTTGACAAAAAACCTATCCACGTGTCCTGCAGCAGTTGTTTATCTTGTCCTTAAAGACTGCACAGCTTGCAATGAGACATGAGCAGCACTCAGCCTACTTGTACCTTCACTATGACAAAGACAGGGTTCGTTTTCTTCAGCTTTCAAGCATGCCTGCCTGTGCCTCTTCCAGTGTGACCTGGGAAAGGAACAAGTTAATGTTTGACTTTTGTTTTAACTGTATACTTTTTCCAGTGGTTACTTAACAGCAGAGTCTGGTGTGCTGAGCATGGGATTGAAGGCCAGCAGTCTGTATCTCTGAATCAAGATTTCAGAGGTTACATAAACACATTTATCTTTGTGGTCTTTATTTTGGAAGGGGAGAAAAGTAAATGAGCAGTTAGGAAGGAGCAAAGCAGAGGATTTGGAAGGCAGAGAACTGACCAGAAACATACTTTAAGTGTTGTATTATGTAAGTAGTCTCTCCTGGGCATTTGATCTATGCATGCAGGAGTTTTATGGCTTAATTTCCTTGTTCTGTCAGTTCTTAGCCAGGAAAAAAAAAATCACTATTCCCTTTTCTCTGAGTCATGGCAAGTCTAGGACCTTTCCTTGCCTCATGCAGATCCATGAGATACAGCAGGTTTGACAGTGGTAATACTGCATTCCTCAGTTCTGGGCACGTGCCCTCCCTATTTAAATGCTGATTGACAGGACTCCAACACACTACACAGGGTACACAAAATCAGCAGGGTTATTCTACTGCAGAGGGAATAAAGCAACCCCAACAACTAACATGCTAGTGCAGAGTAAAGATATACACAGGAACATCTCTGCATTAAGTAATTTCAAAGTGAATTTAACCCATTCTCAAAGCAGACAGCACAATTTACATTCACTGGCCAGTTGACTCCCAATGAGAACAGCATCCTTTGAAAGCACAACACTCTTTTGAGGATAGTTAGCATGAACTTTCTCTACCTCATCCCTCTGTAAACAAACATTAGGAACCTGACATATCCATGGCAACTTGTGCTGTGGAAACAAGAATTGAACATAACCTTTTAAAAAATGATGCCAGTTCTTTTACAAAGAATTCACTGAACGAACTATAAACCCTGTGGGGTGACACTAATAATAAATTTAAATGTGAATGTCTGTGGAGGCCCAGCTTAGAACAGCACCTGAAGAAAGAAGCCTGCAGGGATTTCATCCTGATGCTACCAGTTTTAACAAAGGTAAATCATTGCCCTGAAGACCCTACACACCCTCTCACTCTTCAACACTGCTGGTCTGTCCAACCAGAATGACATCATAGGAACATTGCCCTCAGCCTCTCTAGGAAATAAAATTAAAAGATAAATCCTTAGGCTAGCTGCATTTCTAGAACAATGCTGCAAGTCAAACCAGTTAATACTGATACAGCCTCCTCACTTGGAAAAAAAAACAGAACTGGGATTCCAACAAAATTTAAATCCCACAAGCTTTCTGTACCCTTATAAATTAAACAAATGAAACAACTACACCATACATCTGAATTCTTTGAGAAAGGAGCTATCTTCAATAGTGTGGGGAAAAAACAAAGGAAGAAAAGAGGAGTTTGCATTTTCCACACACAAAGACAAGGGAAAATATCAAAGTCATAGGTATTTTTCAACCTACCAAAATTTAAATGATTATTTTTTAACCTGAAGATACTGTATCAGGATAAACCAAACGACCTAAAAATCCATGAATGAAAACCTTGGGCTTACATTCTAACTTTTAATGTGGAAAGACACGTCTGAGAGTTTTCATCTCTGTAGCTACAGACAAAAAAAATTAATCCTTACAGCATTACATTCTGTGTGTGGAAAACAGGGCCAGGAATTAAACATGCCCTTCAGCAAATCATAATTCAACAACATGTCTAAGATGAAGATGCTGACAGTTCTGTCTCCCAGGCCCAAGTTCCTGCTACCAGAGCACACTGCCTCTTATTCATGCATTTTAATTGCCAGGTTTAGAAAAAAAGGCATGCAAGATAAAGACTGGTATCTGCTAATAAGGGAATGGTTTAGTTTCTATCTTAATTCTTACTCAGACTAATGAGCAAAGCAGTCTGAAAGCTAAGAATCTGATATCAAACTTACCATGGGGTTTAAAGAGTTTAATTTCTCCCTCATGCCCAAAGCAATTTTATGTATAGCTGGGGAAGAAAGATTGATTCTGGAAGTTTGTAGCCATCAGTATACACTTAGTGTGTCAACTGGAAGATATTTACAGACATGAAATGGAAGTGAGCCAGAAGATTTATAAAAGTATTTCCCCCTCTCCCCCAATGCAATATTACTTTTCTTTGAAGAGCAGGGAGTGGAAATGAGAGAGTACAGATGCGCAATTTTGATAGCAAGACCCATTAGCACGAAAGGAAAAGGTGATTAACATGGGCCCAATGCTATTAAACACTTTGATACCTTTTTAATTCGAATGCCCCTGCTTTCTAGAAATCCTTCTAGGATTTTCTAATTCTCTAATGGGTGGGAAGGAGCTCAATAAATCAGCTAATCCTGACTCTCAGGACTGGGGGAGAAAAACATGGTCTAGACATAGTTAATCTGTGCCTTATGAGGCACTCTAAAAATGGAAATACCATAGTCTTCCCAAGCAATCTGTTCCAGTGGTTCAGTTCATTTTCTAGTGCCCATTTACACCATCTTTGTTGCAGTTTAAACACATTATCAGTGGTTCTGTCGTCAGAGTGACTATACTGGAAAATACTCTCCTTGCTTATATCTGACCTGAAAACAACTCTTCCTTCTCTCTGTAGTCTTCTGTTTGTTAAGGGAAACAGTTCTACATCTCTGTGAATAAAATAATCACATTTTCAAGACTTCATTCTTTCCTCTATGCTCTCTCAAATTACTGTAGCTTGGGATGAAATGCCTAAGCCTAGCATGGAGCATTGATATGTATTCAGGTTAAGTTTCTATATATCACAGCACACTTGAGCTGTTTGCATCACCTCTGTTAACAGAATCACATCTGCCTTCTCAACAGCAACACTCCCAGACACTTTGTACCAAGCTCATTCTACTCCCCTGCAGTCTTCTTGTAGAGATGATAAATAAATGGAGGATCTTAAGTCTTGTCCTTATCCAAAAGGCATGGGTTTTTTTCCCCCCTCCCAGGCTGCTTCTTCATTTCCTTCAAGCCATTCTGAACCCTAACCACGTTTTCCAGTGCACTGGCAGCAATTCCTAGCTTGATACCATCTGCTGTTAATACTGCATAGCCTTAACGTTTCACTTAAGTCAAAATTAGTGACAGAACCCTGCAGAGATCATTCAGTCTAGACATCCTCTGGTCTGACAGTGATCCATGAAGCTTTTTAAGGTTTTTCACCAACTTTACAGTATTTAGAGAAACATCCTTGCTTATCATACAGAAAAATCCATTAGAATAACTAATTATACTAAGAACATATTTGTTCCTACCAAACAAGACTGGATACCATGTCACAAAACAAGACTTGAGAGGTTGTGAATTTTGGTTTGAGAAAACCCACATTTATGTTTATTTATCACCTTTGCACTTGAAAAGCTTATCAAATAGTCCACATTTGTTGCAATGTTTTAGGAAGTGGACTCCAGATCTTCAGTGCTTCTTTTCCACCTGTCTCACATAGATACAGGTTTGGCTTCTCTCTCCATTTAAAGAACTTTATCTGTCTGCAGGAAAGCTGATACCAGTTCTGTGACCAGGAACAGGGTGAACCAAATTATCCTTCATTAAAATTTCACCTGCTTTTCAAATTACCACTTTTGTAAGTGTTCTTCATCACCTTCTTTATCTGAGAAAAGTTCCTCTGTTTCTGGGGCCAGGTATAATTACAGCCTAACCTGCAGTAAAGAGATCTGAAGCAACAAGTGCACTGAACATAAAACTTTCTAAGCATCACGTTATGTTTCTTCACTCAGTAGCAGGTCGAGCCCTTATTCTTCTTCTCACCATAAACTATTTTCTTAAGCACACTGTCTTAATTGAAGTAAGCACAAAAGGATGTCCTTTGTGCCAAATGTGCCTCAACAGATCATGGAAGAGTTAGGTCTACAGAAAAATCTCTTTAGAGATAGGAACATACTACAGGAAACAGATTGTTCTACAGTATAATCCCTTTGTATCATGCACTCCCATTATTTCACCTTATTTACCATTTAACCCTTATTCTAAAATTGCTTAACTTTGTCTCAGTGTCAGAACTTTCAACTAATATGTGTTCTTAATCAATTTATGGAAAGAAATCCATATTTTAAAGTACAAACCCAGCATTTGAAGAGTAAAAGCAGTACTGTCATTTGGGGATATCATTCAGACCCATTATTATGAGTTTACTAAATTTAACTTAAAACCTCTGACACCCACGGCACTGACCACCAGAACTGTCTCTTAAATGGAGGGGGCAATGCTGAGGGGTACCCAGCAAGAGGGAGCTCTGTTAATTCCAGCTGGACTGAAAACGTAAGAAGTCATCTCAGTGTCTCATAATCCCACTACTACAGCTTCAGTTTGCGGGATTTACAGGTTTAGCGCCCTGTGTTCTAAATGCAGCAAGGAACTCGGAACAGCATATTCCAATCACCTTTGGGGGTTTAGTGGAAAAGGAAAAAAGGTGGGAAATGTAAGAAAAAACAACAACACGTTTGGCACAAGCAAAGAGATGTGGTTTCTCCTGCCTAGATAGTAAAAAAACAAAAAAGAAATTATTATATTTTTGAAAGTCATTTTTTTTATTGTGTATGCAATTGGCAAAGCCATGTCAAAGAGAAGTTAAAGAATGTCACAAACTAACAGAAGCTAAGAGAGGGACAAGCCTCCCCCAATCCATTCAACATCACACATCAGTGATCAAAATCTATTTAAAAAAATAATTTAAAAACCTTTCCATTTCCCCAGAAAGCAGTTTGGTTTGTAGAAATCAACCATATCCAGGGCAATAACCAACCAACCAATGTGACCCTCTTATGGAAAGGCCATGGAAAAAAAAAAAAATCTGTCTGGAGTTTGTGTTGGCCAGGCAAATCAATACACTTAGTCATAATTCATTCGCACTGCTTACAAAGCAAGTAATTGTTTTCCCACTAATGCCATCTCTACCATTTTTTAACAGAGAACAAGTTGCAAAAGTACTGAGCTTGCAGCAGATCAAACTGGCTTTGCTTGACAGCAAAGAAAAGCAGAGAAAATCAGTTTACTGATGCAATAGTTAAGCAGTAACACATAAAAAAAGCCAGTTACATTTCACGGTCAACCACAACACTATTTTCTTCAGCTTAGTGTAGAAACATTATTACACAGTGACGCATTTCCAAAACCCTTAATACAAATCTTGCTTTTAAAGTTCATAAAGGTTCACTGTCAAAGAAAATACCTAAAAAGTGTCTAGGATTATTCAGGATCTTTACTGTCACAGAAGTGAGTTCTAAACTATATTAATGATCTTGGTTTTAATAATGATTTTGGTTTTAATTCCATTATGTTTTTATAAAGGTATCAGCATGACATACATTTCACATGATTTAACTTCAAAGGGTTAAGATTAAGTTACTGAATTCTTGCAATACCTGCTGTAGTTTTTTATGGTTTTAAAGAAGCTATCAACAATAAGTGAGAACATATGTTTAAGACTAGGGTAAAGTTTATTCCAAGAGGCAAAAATTCCCTTCAGCTTTATATAATTAGTTTGAACAGCATACGTATTAAAGAAAATATTTTAGCTTATTTACATATTCAAACTATGTGGCATAGTACTCTGTGATTTTGTAAGCCCAAAACATCATAACTGCAGCAATCTTCAACTAATTACGTAGTTCTCAAAAATCCCCCTTTTCCTTCCTCCCACCCAAAGATATCTCCATATCACCAAGTTTTTATGCAACTTCAAGAAGTGCTGCCCGGCAGGGTGTTTCAATATGAAATAGTTTTACTATTAGAAATGGATCCTATCAGCTGGATTGCTGAGCACAGCGATTACTTGGAGCAAACAAAAGGGCAGAAAATACCTAAGAAAGTCTTTTAAGTTCTCATCAAATCTAAAAGCTTCCTCAGTCCAAGCCTATAAGTATTGAGTACCCTCCATGTCTTGTAACAACTAATAAGAAAGTGCAAAACTCCGAAGACCACAAATGAGGCCTTGCAAAAAAACCAAAAACCAAACCAAAACAAAACAAAAACACCTCCAAACAAAAAAACACCAAACCAAACAAAAAACCAACAAAAAACCCAAAACAACAACAACAAAAAAAACCAAGAAACAAACTATGAAACTCCAAGCTTTAATTCCAACACTACCCTGAAGCACAAGTGTAATCTGAGCTGTACCATTCCACTCACATTCCAGGTAAAATGAATTTTGTGTTTACAAAATGTGTCTCCTCAAATCTCACTACTGATGCTCCACCGTATCTATAAATATTTAATTACAGACAAACACTTCCCGAAAGGCAGCTCAGACACACATCACTGGCAAACGCATCTCCCCTAACCTAAAGCAAAGAAAAGTTCATATGTTACAACTACAGTTAAAAAATGGCATTGGAAAAGAAGCCTTAAAGAGATGAGTATGGAAAGAAACAGTTCTTAAATCAGTCACTTCATGTCTAAAATATTTTCTAAGCATACTCATTGATCAGACAATATAAGTCACAGGAAGATGAGGATGCTGCACTTAAACTTTGAAACTTGAAACAATTCTCACTGAGACTCTCTTTAAACACTCAGTAAACAGCAAACACTTTTGAAAAGCGAGGCACAGGCACGGTATCAGCTGTGGCAATAAACCTCACCTCCTTTGAAATTTACTCCCTGGTTCAGCACCGACACAGGCAGGTCTTATCACATGCAAGGATGGCAGTGGCACAGAGAAATACCGGGAAGTCTAGAACAAGGCTGTTTACAGCCCCTGACCAACCTTAGTTACATAGAGAAGATAAGAATTAAAGCTGTAGGAGGGGGAGATACTCTTGTCAACCCAAGAATAACAATAGTTTGATTTCTAAACACTATGGCTCTGCACAAGAAAGGAGTATTACTGAGCATGCATGCTTCACCCGGGAACATAAGTGTTTTCAGATGAGAAGGCAAACATTTTCTCCCATTAAAGTCTATCTCCCTCCCATTTTATCTGCATGTGAAGTTCATTAACAAGGAGAGACTACACAAGACTAAACCACAGTATCCATCTGCTAATAGTTATGGCTTAATTCAGTCATTTTTATTAATTTGTGTTACATAGCACAAGAGTTATGTTGTACTATAGACAGCACAAGAATGTTTTTATCATGCTGTGTTTGCCTGTTTCTACAAAAACAACAATGCTATACATTAAGATACACAGTAAGACCTTTCTTCAGAGACTTGAATGCCGAAAGCTAACATTATTCCCAGTCATATGTTGACTGTATCAACCCACCAGAAAGTAAGTTTTTCACATCTCCCGTAGAGGATAAAGATGGGGGGAGGAATAAGAACAAGGAGGGCAGAGTGTTGCCTTCTCAGCTTCTACAAGCTGAGCACACCACAACCGACACTCTGTGCTCTGCACCACTGAGGACATCCAGCCCGGCATGCTCCTCTTCTTTTGGGATGCACATCTCCAGCTGTCTCCATACCAGAAGACCTCCAGTTCCCAACCTCAGCACTCAGTTTCCCCTCACTGGAAAGGCCCCTATTATCATTTCCAACCACACATTCCAAGATCGCACACCTTACAGTCACTAGTTCTTTTCTTGGTGCCTGTCACTCCTTTCAGATGTATTCCTACTTAATTTTAAGTGGCACTTTTCTGCCTATATACCAAACAATTTCTCCATCTCTCCTCAGTGCCACCTTTACTAACCAGAAAACGTCATTCTTGCAAGGTCTTTCCTACCCTACATCAACATCACCTCCAGTCTCCCACGACACCCGGCTTTGCCCCACTCCTTTTCCCCAACACCTCTTTCATTCCTTTTCTTTTCCCCACTCACCTGGTCTGATCGCTTCTACTTTCAGATCTACTTCCCAGATCACCATCTGACACTGGTTCCCCTTCCCTACAACTCTCACAGACAGATTTATTTCTGTTAATATTGAATGCTGGAGAATCTCCCAGAGTAATTTAAGCTGCTATTTATAAGCACAGGGTAACAGTCAGCTTAAAACAGAAACCCAACATGTTTCTCTTTTATAAAATTGCTTTGCATACAGGTCAGAGCTTCCCAACCAAAGAATCCTCTTTGTTATTCCACCTTTCTCAAAATGTATTCTATATTTCTCAAAGGCTCTTGATTTTGAATCATAGAATCATTCAGGCTGGAAAGACCTCTAAGATCATCGAAACCAGCCATTAACCCAACGCTGTCAAGTCCACCACTAAACCACGTCCCTAAGCACCACACCTACACATTTTGGAATGTTTATAGGGATGGTGACAACATCATTTCCTTGGGCAGCCTGTTCCAATGCTTGACCACCCTTTCAATGAAGACATTTTTCCCCAGTATCCAATCTAAACCTCCCCTGGAGCAACCTGAGGCAGTTTATTCCTGTCCTATCACTTGCTGCCTGGGAGCAAAAGACCGACTCCCACCTGGCTACAACCTCCTTTCAGGTAGTTACAGAAAGCAATAAGGTCTCCCTGAATTTCCCTTCCTCCAGACTGAACAATCCCAGTTCCCTCAGCCACTCCTCATGTGACAGAAAATTCACACTTTTTGACTAGCGTTAGCCTCAAAAATCCAAATTCAGAAGGAAATTTCCTGTGGCTATTCTATTAATGTCAAGACCCATTCAACAACAGCATTAATGTATCACACCTCAAGAAGAAAGCCCCTTAAAAGGCTATGTTACTGTAGCAGAGATCTCATTTTTACACTAAAGCTAAAAAGTATTTTGTTTACAACAAAACACCAATCTGTTGATAGCTATTTGCATCAAAAACTTCAGTATCAAACAAGCAGTAGTTACAAGTTTTGACTATTTTAGCATTACAGTCTCATTGAACATGTGATTTAGAGACTACAATCTACTCTTACACCAAAGTTAAAGCAACCAGCTTTTTTTTTCTTTTAATATAAGAACATTTTCACACCTTCCCGTAGTATTTAATTTTTGCTGTACTTCACACCAAAGCCCAGCAGACTTTGTAAAAACTGTTCTCAGGAAATCACACTAAACTCTGAAATACCATATGGCTGCTGAACAAGAAAATAGCCATAGTTACCAAACCAAAGTAATGCCATTGATCACTTTAAAGAGAGATAGTTGTAGGCTTGCTAATTATCTGAGGTGCTTATTATACATTTCAAAGTTTGAAAGTAATTCTATCCCTCTATCAAAGCTAGTAAATCAATCACCTCTGTTAAAGGCTTAGAGAAAAAGTCAAGCTTACTGCTTAAATCTACAGTCAACATATGAGAAGCATTACTATGAAAGCCATTCAGAAAGCCTCCTCATGGGAAAGGGTAACATTATGAGAACTAAGTGTTTTCACATGTTCTTTTTACCTTTGTTCTTTTATAGTCTTATTTTTCACCTCTTCTACAGCAGGATTTTTTTGGAGGCTACTAATCTGAATTCCATCCCTTTCTTCTCAAGGCCCCTTGGGACCACTTCTCTCTCAGCACTGTCTTTTGTTCCTCCTACAGTAATTCTCTGATCAGTCAAAAATAGCTTCACATGGCATTCTCCAACGGAGCCAGGAATCTGCGATGGTAGCAGATTCAGAAAGGAGGACTGAAAAAGAAAAAAAAATAATTTGAAGAGAAAATCCCCATGTTCTCAGAAATGTTGCAAGCCTGCTAAGAAATAGAGAACAAACTTCATCCTGAAGTCGTGCCTCCCATGCAAGAGAAGGACAGCACCTTAAAAAACAAAGGCATTGCTCCACAGACAGGAAAGCCCAGCCACTGACACTGCCCTCTCCCAGGTGCCATGAAGCCAAACAGACTTCACTGTGGCCCTATTTAGCATTTCACATAATCTGCAGACAGCCTTAATTTCACTACAATAAGCTCAAAAGCAGGCTACAAAAAATGGAAAACCCAACAGTTGTGTTTTATTTTCTACATATAGGCTGTGCTCATCAAGAGGGGAAAAAGCCCTCCAGAGTCATATTATAAAGTTTCAGATCCTATGAGTCTTCTCTATTTTGCACCACTACAGTGTCAGGTCCCAATTTCAGCATCCATCTGCTTTTAACCAACATACACATTAAGCTTCTAATCTCAAAATAACTGTGTCCTCAAGCTAGGCTATTATATTACTACAGGATATTACTCCCTTCGCTATAAAGGAGGAAATAAATCTTTCTGCAGAATTTCATTTTTCTTTCTATGTAATGACTGCCAAAATATCTTACACTACAATCATGGTATAGTTCAACCATTCTACTTCTAAACAGAATACGAATGTCAAAGGCTGTTTTGTTACTTTGTGTCACATTTAAAGATAATTATTTAAGAAAAAACCAAACAAACAACAAAAAAACCCCCACACCTGGATGTTTGTTTGCCTCTTTAATTTGTATCTCAGTTCACACATACATTCAGCAATCAGAACAGCAGCACCCCAGTACTAGTTGCATTTTCTGGGAGCTACTGAAAAACTGAAGAAGCACAAGTCATTTATTTTACATACATTCATGTTTTTTCTGAGTGTAAAATAAATGTAACTTGTACATGTTATATACATTATAATATAGAGTGAACATTTGTAGGAATGTTAGCATCAACAATTTAGTGATTATAAGCTTAAGTATGTGCCACAAGAGTCTACAAATCACAGAATATCCCGAGTTGGAAGGGAACCACATGGATCATCCACTCCAACTCCCGGCTCTGAAGAGGGCAATCCCAAAAATCACACCATGTGCCTGAAAACATCGTCCAAATGCTTCTTGAACTCTGGTAGCCTTGGTGCCGTGCCAATGTTTCAAGTATATATTTTTCTAATACCCATTTCTCTGTTCCAGAAATAGTTACCTTCCCCCCCCACCCCCTTGGCTGTTTCACACTAGATCTCTTTCACTTCCATCCCTGCAGGCTGCATGCTTTGGGCTCTTATTCCTTTGTCCAATTAAGAAATCCCTTCTTACTTCCAGTCTCAATTCATCCCAACTGCTTCCTTGCACCTTTATTTGCCTGCAGTTCCACCAGTCAACACTTATAAAGTTAAGCACGTTTATAAGCCCACTAACAATTTAGATGCCTTGTCCTAGGAGTCTGGGGGAGTGGGTTGGTTCAGTTGGTTAGAGCATGGTGCTAATCATCCCAAGGTTGTGGATTCAATCCCTGTACGGCCCATTCACTTCAGAGTTGGACTTGATGATCTTTGTGGGTCCCTTCCAACACAGAATATTCTGTGAACATCTGAAACATTCTATGACTATTTCACAAGTTTGTTCAAGTCAGATATTCTATAACAAGCTACTTGTAATTCTGATCAGACAGCTTTTTGCTCATTTAAATCACACACATGCTTTGAGTAACTACAACTCTTCATTCCTCTTCTTAAAAGAGCTGGCTTTCATTTACTGACATACAACATGTACCACCATCAACCATTCTGCCAACCCTGTTTTTCCATCTTCTCTAGGGGCTCAGAAAAACAGATGGAGTGTCCTATTGCCACCCTCACAGAAACATTTTCCATTAAACTTCTGATATCCTCTCCTCCTCTACTAGAAGGAAGATGGGAAGAAACTAGCAGGTAAGCTGTCCCTGACTCAGGAGGTAACTCATTCTGAAAGTGGGGTACAGTGGGAGATCATTTCAATGGCTGCAGGTGCCACCTCTGATAACTGGTAACGTGGTTACTTGCACTGAATCCAGAAACTGAAGGGGCTTCTGCGTCCCTCTGGACAGACCTCTGCCCTAATGGGCTCTCCAACACACCACCAGCATTTCCCACCGCCACTGGAAGCAACGCTTAAGCAGGTGATCAACACATCGGTCGTGCAGACAGAAGTCGGGAATCACCATATCCTTATTTCCCAAGACAAAGGGTACCGCACGAGCTGCCTTTCGAAATCATTGCCTTTAGATGTTATGTCCTCAACGAGCCCTTGCTCCCAACAAATAAAATAAGGTAACTACGAGCAGCCTATGTCTGAACAAAGACCAGAAGCACACGAAGGGCTGATCATACCTCAGTACGTAACAAACGGAAAAAGTTATGTGCCTGAACACCTTTAAATAAAGAAAAAACAAAACCAAACAGAAAGACAAAAAAAAAAAAAGCCCCAGCTCCCCCTAAAATAAATACAGAAATTCAGAAGTGAAGGTAAAAAAAAAAATCAGTTCATTTTTACATGACGTTTTAAGGTAAGGCTCAGGCTAAGGCTCACAAGGGCACCTCCGCTCCCACCAGGGCTCTCCCCGCGGAGGGACCGCCGGTGTCCCGCAGGCGCGGCTCCGCCGGACCGGGGGTTCCTGCCCCGCTACACGAGCACGGGGCGGCCGCCGCCTCCTCCTCCTCCTCCTCCTCCTCCTCGAGCCGCCGGCCCGACCTGATACCTCGGCGGCGGCGCGGAGAGCCCGCCCCGCGGGGCCCGCCCGCCCGGCGGGCTGCGCTCACCTCGCGACCTGGCGACTGCCGGCGGCGGGGCCCCGGGGACGGCGGCTGCCCGTCGTCGCGGGCCGGGCGGCGAGAAGAAGCGAGCGGCGGCCGCGGCGTCCCCACCGTGGCGCAGTTACCATGGGACGGACGCCCTCTCCCTCCGGAAGTCACCGCCGGCAGGGCGGGGAGGGCGGGGGCGGGCGGGGCCGCCATCTTGAGCGCGGCGCCCGGCCTGGCGCCCGCCATCTTGAGCGTGGCGCGGGGCTCGCCCGAGCGCCCGCCCCGCTGCCCGCCCGCTCCCCGGGCGGGGGCTTGGTGTGAGGGGAACTGCAGGACCAGCGGCAGCCTGATACACGCGCTTTTATGGATATATCTAAACTGGGGGAAAGTCCAGTCTGGGGTTGAAAAGATTGCCCTTCAGGGAAAGAAGGTCACAGTGGCCCCAGGACAGTTTCGTCCCAGGCTGTGGCTCAGATCCCTCCTGCGGCCCCTGCAGGGTCCCCGCACGTCCACTGGATCACCCTTCGCCTTTAAAAAACACGTCAATGTTGTAAATAAAACTGCACATAGAAAACAGTATTATCTACACAGGTAAATCCGGTGCTGAAATCCTAGGAAAAGCTTGCAGCAAGCTGTAGTTGTGCCAACTTGAGCATAGGCCGTAGTTTTTAATTACACAATTGCATACCTTTGTGTCCCAAAGGGCCTCTGTCTCATTTATGCACAGAATGGTCTGAGATACGATTGTGTTGTTAATCAGGGACGTCGAGTTTTCTAACCTTTGAGTGCTTCCTTTTGTGGTCGGATTAAAACTACGTATTTGCAATTTTTAAAAACCAGCATAACACATAGGATAATCTGCAGTGATCCCTTGCCCATGACGAGCTGTTACACTTTCATCCCATCCTAAGGGTAATTGGCTCTCTGAAAACCACTCTGAGGCATGTGAAACAACCCAGGTCAGGCTGGCGATGGTTTGAGAGCCAGAGTTTGCAGACTGAGTCAGACTCCAATCCCCTCCCTTCCTCCTCATCCTCCCTCTGGGGTTCACTTGACATGGTTTTTATTAAAGGCTCGTTATAATCTCTAATTCTGACTCAGACCTCATCCTGAACACCAGTGGTGTGTCTCCTGCATCAGCCCAAGGGTTTGCGTTTGGTCAGGCGGGGCAGAAACAGAGCGTAAAATGCTGTGGGAGTTGATGTTTTTGACACTGGAAAGTCTGGGACTAGAACCACACTCAAGGAGTGCCATGGTGAATGGGAGAGAGCATTTGAATTTTAGACGAGACTTTCTGTGAAGCAACATGAGCAAATGAGACAGGAAAAGCTCCAGCCCCCTCATCTGCAGAAGGACTTTGCTCCCAGCCCTGATCACTTAATATCGTGTTCTGCCACTTCATTGTAATTGTGCTGATTTCTTCTACAGGCTCAAGCAACACTGAGTCACGCAATATAGCTTCTGTAATTCCTGTGAATCCTCTTTTTTTTTTTCCTCCCACAAAATAGATTACAGGATATCAGTTATGCTTCGGTGATCCTCCACTGAAGTACACTACCCTCCAGAAATATAAAATACCTAGGTTTCCACACCACAGCTCCTGTCTTTCGGTGCCATCTAGTGTCCAGGCATGGAAGAGATGTTGTAACTAATGGAATTTCTCCCCATCAGATCGATTTGCCATAATTAACACGTTTTGGACATTGATAGATGGCACCGGTAGAAGATATATTTGTAAATTAATACAATATTTCTCTATATAAATCTAGCAATATATAAATTCCTATTTTTCTTTTATGGCACTAAATTCTGACACAGATCTCTGTTGCATTAATGAAATTAAAATCAATAGCACTCACAAATCAAACGTACATGTATATATATATCAGTTATTTATTCTGGATATGCTGTTCTCTGTAACTAATTAGATTGCTTTGGATAATAATGGTCACCAAAAGAAAAATAAATTGAAAATACTGAAATAATTTATCACCTTGCTTCATTTTCAGCTCTACTGAAAAGGAGTAGCCATCCAGATCAGAGCCCAATCAAAATTGCATTTGTAAAGTAGAACTGCAAGGCTTGGAGTAACACGTCTTTCAATCCAACAACAAAAAGGAATGAGCTGGTTTTTGAAACAAGGAAGAGGCAAAAAATGAAGGATTATGCAGAGATCAACTGACTTGTTTGTTATCTTTTAACCCTTCATGTCTTTCTTTATAGTGACCGTTAATTATTATTCTCATCCACAGTCCATAATCAGCAGTAAAATAGTTCTTAACCACTGAAACGCCCTTGTCTGTCTTTTACTGTTACATACAAATTAAGGGGAGCACAAAGGACTTACATAATCTCCCCATATTAGTACAAAGAAAGCATTTAGTGGCCAGCCAGCACAGATAACTCCTTCTTGAAGATCTCAGATTCTAAATCAAGATCCAAACTCTGAGCAGCAAATACAATAAAAGGAATATGAATATGGAATATTATACAATAGTCTTGTGCATATTCAGATGCTTATGTGTATATATTTAACAAATCTTGCCCTCCCCTACATGGCCATGGAAAGAATTGGAAAGTCATTATTCTCTGAACTAGTCTAGCTAAAGAGGAAACAAAACAAGGTGCTCAGCTGCTTTCATTCTGGTGAAAATCTAATTTAATTAGAGCAATTTCAGATCACAATTCTGACAGCTGTGTTTATCATACTTTCTTCAAAGGATAGAAATTAGCATTGACTGACACTAGCATCAAAGCTTATTTATTCACCCGCCCACATCCTACCAGCCCTTCTGAGTTTGTCTGTTTATTTAGCACTTTATTAACATCACAGTAAATAAGATTTCATTTCAGAGCATGCATGTTTTTTGTCAAAGCATTTAGCACAGACTTCTTACAATAATGCCACTGTAGAACCCCTCTTTGCAGGTTTGATGAAAGAGGTGTTCCTCAGAAAAGGCACTTTAAATGGTTAACAAGGACGCAGACTGGGATCCAGAATTTCTTTTTCTTTCTTTTTTTGGTCAACAACTAGAAAATATCTGCCTTTCAGCAGTTGCCAGGACCAACCTGTCCTCCCTTAAGCTGCAGAAGACTGCCTGAGTCCAAAGGCAGATGGGTCAGGGGGTCTTTGAACCTCGGGGTTTGGGGAAACCACGTGGTACTGCAGACTCTGCTCTGTTCCAGAGCTGCTTTGCCCTTGCCAGCTCGTAGAGGCGTGAGCCCTGCCTGTTCACACACAACCTATCTATCACTCACAACACTATCTGTTCACTCAGCCCATCTATCCTCTTGTGAAATAAAAGCAGCTTCTTGCTGGTAAACACCATCTTTTATTTCGTGTTTGTGCAACAGCTGGCAAAACGGGGCTCGATCCCTAATTAGAGCTGCTGGAGCACAGGAATGAGGTGAACGGATCGTAGCTCAGCTGCCCCTTTCAGAGGCACGTATAGAACACCACCACATCAGATCAGACACCAGAAACACAAGCACAAGGAACTTGCTTCCCACCTGCAAATTCAAGCCCTGGGGTGACAGATACATTTAGGAGGGGACCCCATGAGCTGGTTCTTCAGGTATCAGCAGTAGTTTGCATATTTCCATAATTGTTAATGAATGCCAAAATACATGAAAATTATGTCAAAGGAAGAGGAAAAGCTCCTTTCAAATGGCTTTCCAAGAAGAGGTAAAGCAAACAACTCCATTTGATTTTTCAATGAGTAGAACCCAACTGAGCTGATGGATTAGGTTCCCAGCAGGTGCCCTTCACGGGGAGATTCCATCCAGATCTCACCTTTCCCCCCAGCTTGCCAACATAGACATCATCATGTACAAACTAGAGGCAGCAAAGAAACAGATTAGAGATCAACTAATAGGAATAAATTCCACTGCTTTGACCACAGAATTACTTTCTCAAATCCTGGGACTTAATGCAACAAAATTATCATAAGACAACAGTTCTGTGCAATGGAAATAATTTAAGTTTCAGTGTTTGTTCCAGCAGTGCAGACAGGCCTGTGGAGTGTGCTATCTTACCTGGAACACTTATTGAAGCTGGCCACTGGCTTATACAGCAGGAGCTGAAAGGTGACAAATTCAATTCTCCAATTCTAAAATTAGGAAAAAAACCAGAAATGCCAAGGAAATGAGACACTCAGCAGCTGGTGAGGAACAGATGAAAAATTCACAATTTTCAATCACTCACAGCACAAGTTATGCAGAAATAGACTGAGCTTCCAGTTTTGTTTTGGAGGTTGTGTCACTTCCAATCTTTCCTGTGAAACTCAAGCATGGCTTATTGTAGTGATTTGCATGTAGATGAATGAAATGTCTGCTTTCACTGGTGGTACTTCTGAGTCTTGTTTTTTCTCTAGTTGAGGAAGAAAACAGCTTTTTTGAGAGGAATATTAGTCTTGTAAATATCCTCATGCTCTAAACCATTACAATCAGACTGACTTTTCTTTTTTTAAAGAAAACTTTTTTTTTAAAGAAAAAAAAAGGGGAAAAAAAGAAGAAAGATTAGGAAATGCAGCAGAGTAGCACTGATTTGCATTTTCAACTGACAGCACAGCAACTGGAGAGTTTTGCTCATTCTGTTTACCTAAGGCAGAAACCACA